TTAATATGTTGTGTTTTTAAGGCCTATTACATGCTGGAACTATTTCTTGGTTGAGCCAGAAAGTCACTGCACGCGGCTAAGAAACAGTTCCAGAACGCATAGCTCGCTATATAAAGTGTCGTAAAGACCCATTGGTGAGGTGAGGTGCTGGTAGGTGTATATTTTTAAACTTTGGACAGAGCAAGGCTAGCCATTTCCCCTTGCTTCCAGTCTTGTGCTAAGCTAAGCTAACTGGCTGTTCACTGTAGCTTCATATTTAGAGTACAGACATGAGTGGGGTATCAGTCTCCTCATCTAATTGTCGGTAAGAAAGTAAATGAGTGTACTTCCTTTCATAATGCTTTGTTGTTTTTATTTATGATCAGTTCATATATGTTTTCAGCTATTTATTTTGTTCAAAGTTGGTAGAGGAGGAAGGGACAAGTGGTGAGTCTATAACATCTTTTCAGAAATATATTTCATATAATAGTATTTATTGTTGGTTTTGGAGATGTAACTAATGATACTAATGCTTAAATGTAATCTATTAGCAATACTCAGTTTAATTTAATTTAAGGATATGACTACAGTCTTAAAGGGACTCAAAAGAGGCAAAAATAATTGAATGAAGGCAATGTGTAACTGTGCCATTATCCAGAGTGGCGAAATTAAACAGCCAGTGAGCAGAGTGCTGCTCTCTCTTGATTTCTTCAAAAGTCCCTGGTGGAAACTTTGCCTCGAGGGAGTTCCTTGCTACTCACTCTGGTTATCATTTTCACTTCATTTTCAGCATTTAAACTCATCCTCCTCATACACTTACTGAGCAAAGAGCTAAACCTACTCAACATATGCTTCACTATTAAAAACAGAGTGGAGCAGAACAGCATCCCTGGCAGTGAACTTTACCCGCAGCAGAGAAACGACTGTACCATTAAAACTTCTGGATGAGTAGCTATTCGTTTGATTAAGGGCCGCAGCAAGGGCCGCAGCAAGTGTTGAATCAAGAAGTTCATAATTAGTTTGAGCACTTACTTTTCCACTCCACCGTGGACCTGCTCAGGAAAAGTGTGGTTATTTTTACTGTTGTTGTTTTGCAGCTCTAATCAATCTTCCAGTTCTTTGAATCCCCACTGCTGCAGCCTGAGAGAGTGTTGGGCCGTTCGCCAGTCAATCAGCCACCTAGGCTGCTGTGGCCTTCCATAAATACTGTATGCATGCGAGTGTGGGTGTCTGTCTATGGGGCCTTCTGTCTGTTTGTTTGTCGATCTCAGAGCAATCATTCATAAAAGGTTTCTCTGTGATGTTTGCCACCTCAGGAGGGGTTTGATTCTGGATTAAGCCACTGGGCCACAGAGCAGGATTACACTTTGGGAGGGAACATGTGGCCCTTTTGAACTGCAGTTTATCAAACCCCCTACTTCTCTACATAAATCAGAGTTCACTGGTGTTCACTTAAGCTGCACCAAATAGACATCACTGGAATAATTATTAACTCTTTAAGTGTTCCCACATCAGAAAGTCTGACCCCAGAGCTGCTTCTAGCACACTACTCTCTCTCAGTTTTCGCAGTAAGAACGTTTAGCACGTTGTCTACTTTTTTCTAGGATGTTTGGTATTCTAAAAGTCAAATGTAACTGATTTACTGTATTGTGTAAAGTGATATTCCATTTAGATTTAGATACAGATTTAGATACGGGTGGAAGTCTTAGTATTATATATTGAAGAAAAGGCTTCCTGAATATTCTCTTTATACAGCCTTGGCAGGAAGAATATTAGAATATTAATATTATTTCTTGGTGTACTCTCTTTTCTTCATTCAGCCTTGTTTAGTAATGCATGACGCATAAAGCATAAACATAAAGCAGAGTCAGCTTTTCAACTTCAGAAAAAGTAGATGGACCACTTTTTTAAAATACAACATTACAGTTCTTCAGACTGCAGTGCATTATGGTTCGGTATTAGCCTATGAGGTAACTAAATCGGTATTGTACTACAGAAGAGGATTAGGGCCACATGTTAAATTATTATTATTTTTTTAATTCTGAGTTTAAAGTCAGAATTCTGACTCTTTGATTGTGAGGTATTGACAGCAAAATATAAAGTATTTTTAGTGTTTATTGTCAGTGCTCTGAAATGATGCCATCATCTTCATTTGGCCAGTTCCCCAATTCCCCACCACAAAATGGGTCCCAGAAATGAAAAACGATTGTGTTATGTGTATTTTTCCTTAGGAAATGAAATACAACACGATTTCCTACACAACAGAAGGCATACTGTCCCTCATGACAAAACTGCCCTACCATCGACGGCTGGTCCTTTTCACCTCCACCGTCAGCCACAATATTAGGTTGGACAGACATAGTTATAGCTGATGTCACAGAAGAAGACTGCATTTCACAAGTGTGCGTCACAGGCAAGTTGAAAATACCAATAGATTCCCTGATTAACTAGTGTTTGCTGACAACTTGCTGTGGGAGTGGGTCTATGTTTGGCTATCCAAAATGTATTAATTAGTGGAATTTGTTTTGTTTCTTTTTGACATAATGTTAAAACAACTGAGTGCATGAGATCAGAAGAGTAAACAAATGTCTTTATTTTCCAGGTTGTGAGAGAAAAAAAATCATATATTTTGTTGTAAGAGGCTTCATTTGTTTGACAGGGCATTTGTCTGTTTTTTTGCATAATTGCTTCCAGAAAGACGATATTTTTGGACAGCATGACGCAAGTAAGCATAAACACAGTAATTAGTGCTTAGGAAACTGCAGGAAGCTGAGAGAATAGGACAGAGAAGGAGGAAAAAGGGACATCTGAATCCACCATGGTGTTATTAATGTGACCAGCAGCACAAAGCATTGACCCCCTCCTGGTCCATCGCAATTAGATGGCAATAGCATTTAAAGGCAATATCCAGTGTTTGAGAATGTGTTTTGCTTTTGATCATTCAACAAGCCGGCACCTTCAGACATTCAGAAATAAAATTACCCCGTTTTTGTTTCTAAGAATGTTAGCAGCAGCCTCGTGCAATTAATCAACTCTTAAAAATAATTTCCAGTGGTTCTGTAAATTGTTCTTACCATTGCTGCAATAGATAAATATAGCATAGTCTTGAAAAAATCAAAGCAGCCTTTGGTGCCAAAAGTCAATGCAGCAAGTTTTCCAGCGTTAACGGGTGTTCATTTTCTGCGTTCATTATTTTGAATCAACAGCTGTTGATTGGAGCGTTATTTGTTACAGAGCTGATCTGATGGTAGGATGAGTGCTCAAACGTAATTTGGAATTTAATTTGATATCTGGAATCCCACTTTGTCTGCATTTACAATGCTGCAGGTTACTACTCAAGGCAAAATAGCTGTGACGGCCTTCTTCTCTCCCTCCCCCCTCTTCCTCTTTTTTTGTACTCTGGCCCTTCTCCTGTCAACCCACTCCTTGGAACATCTGCAATGATGTGATTCACCCACACTAAACAAGGAGCCCTTAAAAACTATGAATCATCCTGGAGAGAAAAGGGTGTGTATGTGGATGTGTGTGCCTCTTTATCTCTTTATCTGTTCATGGGTCATTCAGTAACATATGAGAAAGTAATTTGTTTTTACATGTGCCCATTGGGGGGTATGTCTGAAAGAATGATTGTGTGTGTGTGTGAGTGTGTGTGCTCCTGATCCTGAGCTGGAGGGCTGTGTGGGCAGAAGCGTCTTGTGTCGGTATAAATTGATTTCCACAATCCAGACACTGGGTGCTCTATGCAGGAAAGAGCTGTGTACTTCTGCACCCATTTATGAAAGGAGGTAAAATGGTTTATAGCTGTGTGTGTGTGTGATGCGCATGTGAGTGCGAGTGAGATAGAAAGAAAGAGACAGAAAAGCTACAACGATGCCGGAAATCTGATGTCTCTGTTTCTATATTGAGCACGAAGTGACAACTGTAGATTTCCAAGTTGGTCAAAACTGATGTGCTTCTTGATGCGACCAGTAATCTGTGGGAAACAGCTGGTTATTTGCTTATTCATTCAAGTGTTGGTTACGTGCATTTCAGATTTGTGTGTAAGTCCTTTTTTATGCATGAAATGACACAGAGAGATGTGGAGCGTCACAACGAGTGAGATAAACAGCGACGTGGTGGAGAGTAGATAACAGACACACACACACACACACACACACACACACACACACACACACACACACACACACACACACTAACTGTATGTAGGAGCTGTAGTTATCCAAAAATGACAATCCCATCACTTTCTTGGCAGGTAGTTTCACCAATTTAGCATATTCATTACAATGTGGTTTACAGTGCAGGTCTCAGCTGCATACAACATGCTAATGATGGATGGAAGCCATTAAATCTCTATGTAATTCCCTCCCTGTAATTAATATTGATTTTAAATCAGCCAGCATGAACACATTTTAATTGGTAACTGTGTTTCATAAAATACCATGCACATGCCTCCTCCACCACAAACAACAAAAAACCCGACTACATTCCACACAATGGGAACTTTATCTCAAAGTCCAAATACATTTGGATTGAACATCTTTGGTTGGTTGTACAGTTATTACTCAGTGCGTATTATATGCTCAAGAAGTTTCTCAATACTTGCCTGCTGGTTCTTCTCTATTATTGAGCTGAATATTTTGTTCTGGGAGCTGTCCGCTGCTGTGGTGCTGAAATCTTTTCTTTGTTTTCTATAACATTTTTGGCTTCCGTGACCCATCGAGACAAAGCTGTTTCTACCTGAGAGCCCTTGTTGAAAGCAGTTCAAGTGATTATTCAGTCTCAGACTGATTTATAAAGGCAAATGAAGAAAATCCTCATTATTATTTTTATACAATAATCCACATGAAAAGAAATAATCCAAAGTTTGAAAAAATAAACTGAAGCAATATACTGTATGTCGTTCCTATCATGTTAACTATCTCGAGACCCCTTATATTTATCATGCGACCCACTGGGGTGTCCCGACCACCAGGTTTGGAACCACTGCTCAGCATCATTTGCTGCAAAAAGCGGGTCTTTATTTAATTGTTTTAGAAGGATTGCACTTTGCATTATACCACACCTCAGATAAAGTCTTAAATTTTGAATAAAAATAATTATAATTACATTACATTGACAATCACTGGCGCGCACCCTCTCAGCGCAGCGCAGAGGCTGTTGCAGGGTGACAGCAGCAGCGCCGGGGCATTGGGGTTGCCAGCACTTGAGTGTAATTCCGCGTGGGAGGAGGATGGGTGGGTTTGAGAGTAGCCTTTTTCTCTTCACACGTTCTGCTGTGCGCACAGACTGAAGACAAAGCGCAGAGAGGAGTCCACCTCTCCATGTGATGCGCAGCCGGTCGGTGAGGGCGCAACAGTAATCTCAGATACTGTCCGTTGTAATTTATTGACGCTGCATGGACAGTTAACCAAGTGCGCCTCTGTCTTTCGCGGGAGTCCACTTACTCAGTGCGCCCCCCGACCCCTACGTCCTCTCCAGCTTCAACATTTGTGAAGTGGCTGCCTCACCCGGTCGGACCGGAGGCCGGCTGGTCTCTGATCTGGTCTCCGGAGTCACCGGAGACTCGACGCGCTCCGTCAGGGCCAGGCTGTGCGGCTCCCGGATCAGACCCGAGCCTCCCCGAGATCTGGCGATGGAGATGATGGAGGGAGACGTTATGGACAAGCTAGAGGACGTGTCATCGGTATACGACTTCGACCCGATCACCGGCAACATCCCTGCCACCAAAGTAGAAATCACCGTCTCCTGCAGGTGAGTCGAAGCTTCCGCACTCGGCAGAGAGAGAAAGTTCGGTGTGAAGACCGCACTTAGCAGAAAAGTTGTGACTGCGCCCCACCCTTTCTGTGGGATTTACTTAGGATTGCACAGTGAGAGGGCGATCTGTAACACACAGGAACAAATTATCCAATAAATTAGGAAAACGCATTATTACCTCCGATTTTGAGTCGGTGAGCATGGTTTAAGTTTTTTATCCAATCTTTCTTTAAGACTCCTTTTGTGTGCAGGGCTATTTCTGTAAGAAAAAGTTAAAAACGCCTCTCACTGAAGGCGTTTCCGAACTTGACATGAACGAAGTACGCAGGCGTTTTCCATCGATTGTCGTCAGATATCAGCGGGAAAAAGGTGTGTGCACCTTGAGACATGGGAGCTCTTATTATGAGAAAAACGCAATTTAAATGTGGAGTGATGACAAGCATGACCATATGTGTCTCAAAGTGCTATACATCAAACCAAAAGTCACAAAGGATCTAGGACTCTGAGCACCTTTTTGTGTGTAGATATAATATAAACGCCCAGTAGTGCTTGTATATTAGACACATCATGAGCTGTAACATCTTCTCAGACATAAGGCTCCTTCATATTGAAGCTCATACTGTACCCACTTTAACCACTGGCTGCTTTCAAAGCATTGACAGTCTCTTTCCTTCCTCTCCTGCCTTCTATATGTTAAAGATTCAAAGGTTTACATCACATTCACACAGTGCTTGTCTCCCTGTCCTCAATCTTATCTTAGTCACCTTTCTTTATTATTTAGTACAAAGGTAGTTTCCTTTTCAGAAAGTACATCAGGAAAATTAAATCCGCCTTTGCCAAATGAATCTCCCTGCAGGCTTGTTCAGGGAGAATAAACAGCCACTCCCCATTAGGAAAGGTTTTTAAGTCAGTGCTTTCAACGCCTCTCAGACATGCACTCCAGTGCTGGCATATGTGCACATCCTCACACACACACACACACACACACACACCTTTCTGCTCTTTTGATGCTGGATTTTAGGTTTGTGAGCCATCGAAGCAGAGTGAGTTTGAGCTATAACAAGCTGTCTGTGCATTATTGATGGGCTCTCTGACGGTTCAGAGAAGCTCGCTGCCACATCTCTGTGGAGTGAAAAGATATATAAAAAACAGACCACGGCAAGAAATGAGTGTGTTCCAAATTGCTGAATGAACAACCGTCTGATTGTTTGTGTTGAATAGGAAATGGTGGGCGATAGTGGAGAATCAGTTTAGAGGCAGAAAGGACGGCCAGCAAAGTGTTGCGTACCAGTCAAAGCCCTGCATGGTTTGAATTTTGTGTTTTTCAGCTTGTAACGATGAGGTGATTGGGATTACATGCCTCTGAGATGCGCAATTAAGAACCATTCAGGTATATGATGAGACCTATTCTGACAACCCTCTGCATTTATGCAAATTATTTCTCTGACAATGTGTGTGTGCTGATGTGTGCTGGTGTGTGCTGGAAAAAGAAGGAGACAGGCAGAGTAGTAGTTCAGATGCCTCCTAGCAGAAAGAAGAGGAGTTTGGGAAGAATAAATCATTAATTGAAAGTGGAGGGTCGATGCTTTTGCCACCTGCTTCACTGCTGCTTTGTGTGTGAGTGTGTGTGTGTGTGTGTGTGTGCAAATGGGTGTGAATAAGAGAAAGAAAGAGCAGAGAAAGGCTGAGAGAGTTCATCTTAGAAAAGCATACATCTGATGTGCACAAGATTCAAACTTTCAATGAACTGTGAACGCGCCTGACACGGGATTGTCATGGATTTCAGCCTCACAAGCTTTAAAGACAGAGGTTGTTCTTTTAACCTTACCTCCAATTTCCTACATATACTGTAGTTCCTGTGGTGGTATAATAAATATTTGATAGTAGGCTACTGCGTCAGGCACTCCTGAAGCAGAAAGAATCAACGGTTAAATCTTTCTCACATTCAAACACTTCCAACAGTTCAAGGCCTCACAAATCTTCTGTACAGATGTTGTGTGAGTCAGATTCCTATTCAAGAGAAGAGGCTCCCTGTTGGGTCGTCATCACTATTCTTCCTTTGTCATTATGTACATACACCCTCTAAAGCCTCCACACCGTGATGATAGCTGTTCCCTCTGGGTTAATACCCCTTATTACTGGCTGCACCCCTTGCTTTTGACAACGTATTATTATCAGGACCAATGACAAATGAAGAAGGGTGTGTGGGTGCTGGATCTGTAAAACAAAGGTGGTGGTGGTGGTGGTGGGGTGATAGGAATTGGTCTTTCATTAAAGTACGGTAGAAGACTGAATGATTTTGTGGCAGGAAGCGACAAACATTAGTATATATTCATATAGTTAACATATAGTTATAAAACTGACGTTTGAAGTTATAGCCAAAAACTGTTTGTAGAGCCAAAAATCAAACCTGTGGTTTTCTTAAACTCTTACACTCCCACAGCCAATGGTCTAGTTCCTGGGGAGAAATGAAGGAAGAAATGTACAATTGCATGTGGACAGGAAAGCAGAGGTGTAAATCCTACAGCTACAAAGCCAAGCCAGAGTCCTCTGTTCAGCCCGGTTGAAGTCTATTGTCCCATTTCTGCTCCACTGTCTAACTGTCCAGTCAATTCAAACATCATAAAGAGGTACTTAAGTGTGTAATGTGGCCCATAGCAATTTACCCGTATCTCCAGTCAGCTGAGGAGAGGCTGTCTGGCTTATGTATTGAAGGGCAGGTCAGTTAATGGAGAAGCACCAGCTGCTGAGGGTGATATTGATAAGCCATGAGCTCACCTGCAGACTGCATACCCATAGCCCCAGTTTGTGCCTCTCATGTATTACCATTACATTTGAGTCACAAAGTTAAGCCTGTTATTTTCGGAAAAATAAACCCTCAACCGATCTTTGAACAACCCAGAAGGTAGTTGAACAGCCCTTAGCACTGAATGTACTTCCAGAATCCTCAAAGACTCCACTGACCACCTGGATGAAAAAAATATTCCATCCAATGCATGATCAAAAAGTGTTTTAACCTGTTTCCCAAGTTGTGACTCTTGACATATGTCCTTGCTTTATAGAGTTCTGCACAACTGAGACCTGAACCCAACACTAATGTGTTTGACAAAAGATACATCTTATTATGTTATTTCTTATTTAAAGACACATTTATATGTTAACTATGGACAAGCTTTCTCGCATATAAAAAATAAGTAATCTAAACGGCAAAAGACCAACACAGAATATGGCACATCTGCCCACCAGCATAAACCATCACCGTCAGAGAGAAAGATCGAGGAGAGAGAGAGACAGAAAGAAAGAGGGAGAGGGAGAGAGAGAGAGTTATGTTAAGTTAGCCCCTCCTTGCCCTCTGTCTCTCTTTCTCTCTCCCCCCAACCGGTTGAGGCAGATGGCCACCCACCCAGAGTCACAGTTCTGTTCAAGGTTTCTGCCTTGCATGTGTCGCCAAGTGCTTACTCATGGTGGGAACTTTTGGGTCTCTGTTAATTACATTACAAAGAGTATGGTCAAGACCTGCTCTATGAAAGGTGCAATGAGATAACTTTTGTTATTAATTGGCACTATATAAATAAAATGAAGAAGTAAATAGAATGAAGTGAATTGAAACTATGACAGGTTCAGGTTGTGGAACTCTGTCTTGCTTGTTTTTATTTGTTACATGAAAATATAACATAATATAAAAACAAAAACAAAACAAAACAAAATAACATCAATATAGAGAACAATAACTGATAATAGAACTGTTTCAGTTTGGATCATGTCCCAGAAATTGGGCAAGGATTTATGTAATTCCTAGCTACCATCTTTGGATTAGGATAAAAAAAATAAAAAATAAATTGTGAGGCAAACAGAATATTTTTTCATCCAGATGCTTTGAAGAGTCTTTGAGAAGTCTGGAAATACCAGAATACAGAAGTTGTGTTGCTAAACAACCTTCTGGGTTTTTCAAATGTGTGACTCAGATATAATGACAATACATTAGAGGCACGAATTGGAGCCAGGCTGGATGATACAGCCAAGATCAAAACTTGGCCTTTGCTCTAAGTTAGTGGAAGAGATTTACGCCATATTAAATGGCCAAATCTGGAACTATTTTTAAACTGTGGAAGGACACTGCTGTAATTTTTAGGCAATTCAATATAATAAGGGGGATTTGGCACTGAAACGTTTTTAAAAAGTGTCTTTAACTTGACACCAATTTCAACACCCTATCTGCCGGTTGTATAAGAATATGACTGAATGCATCTTGGCCCTTAGACGTATGTGCAAGGGGAGGATTGATGGGAAACCAGTGGAGGTCAAGAAGGGTGAGATGTGACTGCCAATAAGTCCTGGGTCAAAGTTTGCATCGACTGAACTCAGAGCAGAGAGAACTGATTAGACGATTAATGTGTTGTCCTTTTCTTGAGATTGACACCTAATCAACAAGGTTGAGATGGATCACGTAGCTACTTAATTTTACTCTAATTGATGTTTTTTATGGTTGTGATATAATGATTCTATTCCTGTAGCAAGTGCACGGCTCGGTAACAGCAGGGATGTGGGATTTTTCAGCTTGTTTCCTGTGTGTGGTGCAGGCGTTGCATGTGTTGCCATGATTAAACTCCTCTGCTGAATGTCTGGATGGTCTGCATTTGCATACAGATTTGCTCTTATGAGGACCCTGGTTTCAGCATCTGATAGGTTCCTTTACGGATCTGGGACAGACATGAATGCGTCTCACACAGCGTGGAAAAGCCCTCGGGAGATCCATCGCCACGGCTTATCATCGCTCTGATTTCCCTTGCTCTTTCACATCACATCTCTCTAGGTTTGAGCACTTTTGGTGGGACTATGTACTACACCGCAAGCATCACTGAAGATAATTAACCACGTGAATAATGTGGTGTATAAAACATGAGCTGGGTTTTGCAAACAGCAACACAATTATCTTGCAGATGACCCCACCACAAAAAGTAAGACAGCCCCCTCTATCTTTCTCTTTCTTTCTCTCT